GAATGTGCTATACATCAATCGAACAATTCGATATATTTCTACAACAATTTCATTTTTATATATATTATTTAAGTAATGCCATACATTTTCTTCAAAAAAATCTGTACAATATTTTCTAAATTTTGATAGTTCAATAACTTCTTTTGAAAATATTGAACTTTCTAAAGACACGTTTCTCAACTAAACTTTTAATCCATAAAAGTAAATAAATGTTTCTTATATACATTTATAATATAAATGAAGAAATGTTTCTTATATATTTTTGTAAAGATTTAAAGCAATGCTTTGGTTCATTTATTTAAAAATTTTCAAAAATGAGAAAATTTCATATTGTATTTTTAAAGTAACAAAAATACGCATTCACTTAATACTGATTTGCATAACTTTTTTGAAGAAATTATTTTAAAAAGTTAAGTTTTTTGAAATCGATGACTATCTGGTAACTGTGCAATTATTTTATATGCATTACGAATAAGGAATTTTGTCATAAAGTTTCAAGAAACTAAATTAAAAATAAGTATTATTTTTATTGCTTTAAGTTACAGATAAGAAATTAATTTTTAAATGAAATTTTTCGACTCTTAAATATTTTATATTTGAAATCAGAAGGATTTCAAATATAAAATATTTGAAATCCTGCTCTTAACAAAAATACTTAAAAGACGAAAATTTATTTATTCTTTCAATAAGGAAAATCGTCCCAATGTGTTGCAATATGGAGTTACAGTACTTCACAGGTTAAGTTGAAAGAAATTGTTTTACACACATTAATTATAACAAAGAATTTAATTGTTTCTTGTAATTTTAATATTTTCTCGTAGCATTTTATAAGTAAATTTCTTTTTGATTCTTAAAATTTCATAAAATAGACATCATCTCTGAACTACAGTAGAACCTCGATTATCCGGACTAATTGGGGATGAAGGTAGTCCGGATAAGGAAAAATCCGGATAATCGAAACAAATACTTTAATTTGTCTTTTGATGATAATACAGCACGTTTTCTTTTCGATGACATATCGGTAATATTAAAA